GGGAGAACATGTCAGAGCACCTGGAGGAAACCCACGCTGACACAGGGAGAACATGTCAGAGCACCTGGAGGAAACCCACACTGACACGGGGAGAACATGTCGGAGCACCTGGAGGAAACCCACGCTGACACGGGGAGAACATGTCAGAGCACCTGGAGGAAACCCACGCTGACACAGGGAGAACATGCAAACTCCGCACAGAGGGGCTCCCCCACCCGGGAGTGAACAAGGAACCCTCTTGCTGTGAGGCAACAGTGCTAACCACCACACCACCGTGCCGCCCTCTCTTCAAAAAAAAATTGTCCAGATAACACAAAACTTTTTAGCTGTGACATCAGGGATAAACATCAGGATATCGTTTGTAATGTAACAACCATACCTAAAGAGGGTCACAAATCACCTGTTCCAGGGTCCTTTTCAGAATCAGAGTCTGTCCTCTAACCTCTCTTTGTCCCCGTCCACAGGAGTGTCCATCCACCCATGACCTGCTGAACTCTCTGCGGCAGGTGGAGAAGATGTTGGCGGTCCATGAGGCGTCGTACCAGCAGGGCCTCCGCTCGCTCAGGAAGAAGATGAGCGCTCTGCACAACAGCACCATGGCCATCTTCAAGGCTGGCGGTGAGACGTAACAGTTTATCCTGGTGTAGATCACCAAACAGAGGGTGGAGATACTAATTTCACCTGGGATCATTAAAGAGAAAAACATCAGACAGGTATGAGGTTGAAAAAGTTCAGAAAGTATAAGAACATCTCTATCTGCTCCCAGCAACCTGCCCCAAACCAGAGCCCCCTGCTCATGGCCGCAGACTGGGCAGAGTGTTTGGCGTTGGACATGAGGTCCACTTCCTGTGCAAGCCTGGCTACGAGCTGATTGGCCCGCGGACCCGAGTGTGTCTGGAGTCTCTGAGGTGGAGCGGCCAGCAGCCAATGTGCAGACGTAAGCACTGACACAGAACCAGCATACTGATACTGGTTCAGCTGGGTCAGCACCAGTAGTTTTATCAAGTCTTGTTTGTTTCTTTTTCAGGCTTCAACAGCACCGGAAACTCCCTGGCCTCCTTCTCTCCTGCTGCTCCTTCCTCTTCTTTCTCTGGCTCTGCAGCTCTGTCAGCATCCTCCTCCTCCTCCTCCTCCTTCTCCTCCTCTTCAGCATCTTCACCTTCTCCTGTCTCCTCTTTATTACCCACGTCTTCCTCCCCATTCTCCTCCATCCGTCCATCTCACTGCACTCACTTCCTGGGCTCCACCCGCTGCACCTGTGATGTGGGTTTCACCATATCAGGCCGCGACAACAACATCTGCACAGGTGAGAAATAAGAGTGTTTGTGTAACCAGTAAGACAAAATGCTGAACCAGTAGATGAAACGAGTGCCTCATATCAGGGACATGGAATACTGAAACTTCTCATGAGGATCCTGTGTGTGTTTCAGACATCGACGAGTGTCATCTGTTCCCTCTTGGTCAACCTGGCCGGCTCTGCATCCATCAGTGTGTAAACACTCCCGGCAGCTTCCACTGCTTCTGTCCAGATGGCTACGACATCTCCAGAGATGGCCGCAGATGCACAGGTCAGAGGTCAAAGGTCATCCTATCAGTCAGGGCGGGGAATGTTTAGGGACGTGTGGTAACTCTAACACCTCTGTCCTTCTGTGCTCAGACATCGACGAGTGTGAAATCCGAATGCACAACTGCACAGCAGACCAGCTGTGTGTGAACACCCACGGAGGTTTCCAGTGTGTGACGGTGGAGTGTCCGCAGATGAAAAACGCCACGTACATCAAGACGTCGCCAATGTAAGAGCATACCGTCCTGTATCACATCGTTCTGCAGTGCTACGAATCTCCACAGCTGATCTGTAGGACGTAGGAGTCAGTTCTTAAGTGAAAGTTAAAACTGTAGATATCGTACATTTCACTTACTATGAACTTATTTGATGGACAGCAATCTTTTTAGCAACCTCCATCCATCCGTCAATTTTCATTCGCTTATCTGGGGCCAGGTTGCGGGTGCCGCAGGCTGAGCAAGTACTCCACACGTCCCTTTCCCCAGCAACACTTTCCAGCTCCTCCTGGGGGACCCCAAGGTCTTCTCAGGCCTGATGAGATATATAATCTTACCAAGGTTCTCTGGGTCTCTGGGGCCTCCTACCAGTGGGACGTACCTGGAAACCTCTAACAGGTGGTACCCAGGAGGATCCTGATCAGATGTTGAACCACCTCAACTGGTCCCTTTTGACACAAAGGAGTAGCGGCTCTACTCCGAGCTCCTGCTGGATATCCGTTTGGCCACTATGTCAAATTGGCTTCAGAGTCTGGTGCTGTTCTGAGGGACCTGAAGAAGACCCACTCCATACAAAGATATAAGGCATAAGGATTCTTAGTTCCAGGTGATTACAGGCTAATAAAAACATATCATGAATATTATTCTGATTCTGCCATTATATCCCCCCAAGTCCTAAAGACTGGACTTTCAAGCTCTGTTTTTGAGACTCAAAATGTCGGTTGGATTCAAAACACTGAATTTGAAGCTGACAAGGGTTGCTCACTGTTTGCTCGCAGCCAACACATTACATGGCTTATAATTAAGAGCGAAATCACATCTCAAGGGCGCAATGAAACTGCAAGCAAAGCAAGTAGAGAAGGAATGAAAACTGGGCAGAAGAGACTAGAAAAACAAGAAAGCTTCTCACCTCAAAAGACAAAGACGCAGATAAATGACAGGGACGGTGATGGACAGAGTTTGAAAACAATGAGTTCTACCTCCATGTCTCCCACTTCCTCTCTCCACCCGACAGTTAGCACCCTTCCTCTGACAGTAAGAGTCAGACTGAGGTTTGGCCTCGGATGCCCTGGCTGAGGTTTGGCCTCAGATGCCTTGACTGAGGTTTGGCCTGAGATGCTCTGCTGAGGTTTTGTGGGCTTGAGTCAGCTGATCAGCTGATGGCGGTCGAGAGGCGTGAAACAGGAACTAAACATGTTTACCAACAGTGGTTATCGAGGTTTGATTTATTCCTACAGCTGAATCCTAATTGTATGTTTCAGCAGCGCAGCAGGGAGGTCAGTGCCGTGGCGTGCAGACTCTCTGGGGGGTATACAGGGCGAGCTTGTGACATCAGTAGAAAATAAAACTTGGAAGTGTTACTGGTTAGGACACTTACAGGCTGCTTATTAAAGATGGAAAACAAAAGGCACTGTGGCATGTAGGACCAAGACGGACGACAGTGAGAGGTCAGAGCATCATTTTGAAATTAGATTCACAGGCCCTTAAAGCAGAGCATGTGAGCAGCGTATAATTTTAGGAGACAGTGATTTGTTTGATTCAATTTTATCCCTCCATACTGTAAACAAACGTGGAGTCTCTGGAGAACTACAGCGATTCAGCAACTCTTCAATTGTGGAGGAAGAACAGATGAATAAATTTCAGCCACTCAGACCACAACAACAAACCATTGAAGATGTAAATAAAAATTTTTGCTGACTGACTTCTGCTTTTCCAGACAATTCGACTCACGAGCCAACCATCCAGTGTTATGTGATGGGAGGATTAGGATGGTCACAGTAAATCACATTCAACTGGATAAATACATGTACAGTTTATGTTGCTGAGTGCAAGCTTTTACTGGAGGTGAAGAAAGTGATGTTGATGCAATTTTTTCCCACGAGACACATTTGGCATCTAAAGAGACAACAGAGCAGTTAGCACATGGACACAGGACTGACAAAGGTATTTTTATGCCTCTGCGCCAGCCAACGCCTTTGGCTCATCAGTCTGTACGTCACATTCTTGTGAACGTAATCTCCAGAATGCGTTGAGGGAATTTCCTTTAAATATGGCACAAACGTCCACTTTGTCTCGAAGGATGAACTGATTTGACTTTGATGGTCGAAGATGAAGATCACTGTGACTTTGCATCCAGCTCATTCTCTTGAATGCTATATGTTGAAATTTGGCACAAATGTTCTCTTCAACTCAAGGATGAACTGATTAGAGTTTGGAGATCAAACATCAGAAGAGAGAGACAGACACCTTTGTTTTTAAGACAGCAGAGATTAAAGCTAGTTGTTAGAGAGATGATGTCACCAGAGCATTAGTGGATCAAATAGAAACCAACAGCACGCTGATGTATCAAAATGACTTAATGGGAGCTGTAGGGTTTTTTATGCTAACATATTAACTGTTGGTTAACTTTGCTAAAATCATGACATGCTGTTGTGGATACTCATGTATCTCAGAATGTGGACCATAAAGTCCAGGAACAGGTTTCATCTTCTCAGAAAGACAGATGAAAAACCCCGTGAGGAGCTTCACTCATTGTCTGACAGAATCTATTGGAACCATTAACTGTATTAAAGAACTGGATGTAGCTACCATGACGTCACCGTTCGGTTTGCTGACTACCGTCTGAAGCCTCTAGTTTGCATACCAAGACAGCCTACTGGCCATCACCATATTGGTTATTTACTAAGCTTACTAAGAACCCGAGAACACTATGCCCACCTATACAGCAACTTGACTGCACCTGGCTCCTGGCTAGTTATCAGATAATGCTAATGCTAGCTAGCTTGGTCAGCAAGGTGCGTCCATAACTCATGTTAACTGTGATACTAATTGAAAAAAAGCATGTAGGCTACTTACCAGAAAAAAATGAAAAGGCCAACTCCTTATGTTTTCTTCACACTACTAATGACAGTGCAACAGTGTGAGCAGGTACATTATTGCTGAGTCACCACTGAAATATTACTCAGGTGTTTGTTAGCGTGGATTAGCTGTCAAAGGCTTGTGTGTGTGTGCTACTTGCAACATTGCACCCTAACTGAACGTCATCTGAAGTTTGGATTTAGTCAGAAACATCTATACTTATGATCATTTTAACATTTCACCACCTTATTGCATCACAGCACACATAAGGCTACCATAATAGTGTCAGCTAACTAAGCTAAACAACACAGTACCATAGCTAGAAATAAAAACATTTATTTGGCTGATGCTTCACTGCAACACTGAAAAAGGCTGAGGCCAGCTCAACTTTGGTTTGTGGCACGTTACACCCATCCACAGTGACAAGTGTGTGACTAGCATGAACTGAAAACACACTGTGAACGGCCAAAGTTCTAGGACAACACCCAAAAACATGTTCATGGATATCTAAATAAAAACGCATTACAAGGTATCTATCCTAACTGAAAGGTCACCATGGTGGGGACCACGAGTTAGCTTCACCCTAAAGCTTTAACTCTAAATGGGACCATCATTTATAAAAATGAACATGGTGCTGTTTTGAAGACGACCTGAAACTAGTGACTGAAACCATAAACTGATCAGGAAAATGCTCACTGAGTGAGAAGTAGGATCATTTTCTCACTCACTTCTACACCATCTGATTTCTTTTTCCACTAGTGGCGTCGCCCCCTGCTGGCTGTTAGAAAGAATGCAGGTTTAAGGCACTTCTGCATTGGCTTCACTCCTCAGACCTGAAGGCTGCGTCCACTTCTTTTTCAGAGTATGAAAGCAAGAGTGAAAACAAATCCTAAATTAACATATTTACCCACTTTGTGTCCACAGGCGCTGTGAGAGGAACCCATGCATGCTGGGAGACAAGGCGTGCACTCAGGCACCAAACTCAATCTCCTTCCACTTCCTGTCTGTGGTGTCCAACATGTCCGCCCCCCGTGTCCTTTTCCGGGTGTCGGCAGCCCGTGTCCTGGGTGACACGCTGCGTTTCGGCCTGGCGGGTGGTCATGGGCGGGGCTATTTCAGTGTGCAGCGTTCAGGACGACAGACCGGCACCCTCCTCCTGGTGCAGCCCATCAAGGGTCCCTCCACTCTGGAGGCTGAGGTGGAAATGAGCGAGCTGGAACGCCACAACCTGCTGGGCCGCTATCTCACCAAGGTCACCCTGTTTGTTTCCCCGTACGAGTTTTAGATAAGGGATTAATGCCGGGGGGTGGTGAGGGTGGGGTTGCTGGTTAGGGTGGGGGGGTTAAGGTTCGCCAAGGTGTACCAGCATTTGGTTTCACCAGTTTACCCAGAAAAAAAGAGCCTGACGAGCTTTTACAGTCCAACTGAAATCTCGTAAGTCTTCCTTTTTAAATGAGTCTTTAAATATGTTTTTATTATTGGAGGGCAAAAAAAGTTCTTTGTAAAAATATCAGAAATATTTCTTTAGCCTCTGAGGTGGGCTGTGAAGTGTTTCTGGTGTGGTGGACCGGCCCATTCTCATTTCAAACAAATACCGCTGCGTTGTCAGTGACCTGGGCATTAGACACCGACGCACAAGGACGCCTTTTGCGGCGGTATAATACGCGCAAGGGGCAGCAGTTGTTGACACAGTGACCACCAACTGAAGTCATCCAGTCCTGGCGCTATATCAGTGGATAGCCACGTAAGAAACCAATGAACAAAGGCAACTTTCACAGCAATATGAAATGCACCGGCCAGCAGCAGTTTGTTTCTCCAGGAGCTCGCTGTTCACCTCCTGCGTGAATGTTAAACCAAACCATGATGGGTTTTTTTTTTTTAAACCTAACCACATGCTTTTGTTGCCTGAACCATCTGCGTTTTTTAGCACCAGGAAATAAACGTAACTACGAGGTGTCTGCATCTAACAAGCACAAACTGAACATTTCCTGTGAAAACTGAGATTTATTTTGAAAAGACACAATGAGCGTAACAAGCATAAATTGACATGCTGTCCTGGAACGTCAACAATCATCATCATCCTCACTGTGACCTCGTCACATGTCCACGTTTGGTCATGGACTTTCCACGTCCACATATGACGTCCAAGGTACCCTGGGTGTGTTGGTTGTTGACGTTCTGGGACGCTGTGTCAACTTCAGCCTGTTACATGCATTGTCTGTTTTCAAAATACACTTCTGTTTTCACAGGAAATGTACAGTTTGCATACAGTCTCTTTCAAAATAAAAGCACTACATCGGTACAACACCACAATTGATGTTTTTTTTCCCCATCAATAACAAACGTGGTTGGTTTTAGGAAAAAAGAACAGGGTTTGGCTTTACAGTCTTACAGGACACAAACACCACTCTCTCGGGTGAAAGTCGGTGTTTGTTGGGTGTTAGATGTTTAACTGAACAGACGTTAGCTAGAAATCTAATGTTACCTACAGTTCAAAGTTCCTGGTTGTCTCAGGTTTACTACCTGGTCAACCTAATAAAACTGTGACATCACTGCTTTATGCAAATAAAAGGAAATTATTTGACTGGCTGTGGCAACATGGTATAAATGAATATACATTTCTACCTTTTGTGGAATAATTTAATCTCAAAGCAGAGCAGATGTGTCTTTAATAGTGGAATAAAAACATGCAGTTGTTTCAGCTGGACTTTAAAGTTAAAAAAAAAAAAGTCTCAATTGTGGATCCAAAATATAAATTCTGACTCAAAATCTCGAAATAATTTTAAACTAAGTTAAATGTTCTAGTCACATGACCATTGTTCACCTGCGGGGGGAAACACCAGGGTGTGGTTTCTGTATTAAAGTAAAAGCATGTAGAAAATAAAGGCAAGATGAAGTCAGATATGTGAGGTCATACAAGGAACTGATGTAGAAGAAGGTGATGTCATCAGTGTGATGAAGGAAGCAGAGCCTCATTGAAAAACAGTCCCAGCAAGTCTTTAAAAAGAGGGGGAGGGTGGGAGGGGTGTCAAACCACTCAGTGTTTTTGGCCACTTTGTAGGTGACTGAATTTACCTGTTGAACTTCACTATGAACTTTGTAAATAATGTAGCCGTATATTTCTTTAGAGTTTAGGAATTTAACTAAACCCTCCAGAAGGTGTCCGGGGTCAAAGAGGAAAGTAGAAGTGATTCTTCTTTCAGCCCGGAGCAGCAAACGCTTGGCTTTGTTTGGTTTGACTCGGCATGTCAGTCGAGTGCAGCAGGGATTTATGTCTCTCTCTCCAACCAGGCCACCAACTTCAAGTGTCTTTAACTGATGACGGCTTGTCCTGAGTGATGACGTCATACAGCAGCGGGTTGATTCAAGGCTTAAGTCTTCTGTCATTTTTGTTTACCTGCTGGAGGTGAGCTGTTTGCAGAGGTGCATTAAGAGCCTGTTTGTCTGCAGCTCTTCATCAACATCTCACTGTGGCTGTTTCTGCTTTCACTCTTCCTCAGTGCCGAAGCAGTAGACTTGGTTTTATTGAACAAAACCCACTAACAAAGTTCCACTAATTTGGCGATAAACACATTTAATTTCCTGTAGACTCTTCACAATAAAATCCTCATTAGCTTTTTACTGTGAGGCAAAAAAAACAGGTGTTACGCCCCACCCTTAGGCGGCCCTATGGGGCGAACAAAACTCCAAACACTGACCCAGCAATAACCACATAAACACCTTTAAAACATTCAAATCCATGGGATTTATTAGAATTAAAACAGGCAAACAANAAACTCCAAACACTGACCCAGCAATAACCACATAAACACCTTTAAAACATTCAAATCCATGGGATTTATTAGAATTAAAACAGGCAAACAAGACAAAAAAAAAACCCCTCGGTGAGAGGCAGCAGGACCAGCAGTCCTCACACCAGAGCCTCTCTCCTCTGCTGCTGGCACAGGAGCTCTTAAGCACCTCCTCCACGCCAGGTGTGCTGCACCTCGTTAAGTAATGCAGCACACCTGGGCAGATCTACAAAGGAGGGAGAAGGGACAGCAGCACAGAACACACACACAGCTGTAACAATAGGAAATGTTGAGTTTTCATCAGCAGTAACTTAACGAGACTCAGCTATACAGCTGATGGCGAATATGAAACTATTTTCGTATTTTTACTTTTTTGACCCTTTCCTTGAGCCTGACTGTGACTGGCTGAAGATGCATGACCCTCCCTCCACCATAAACTAGTTGTTAGATGATTAAAACTTAATGTTTGAGGTTTAAAGTTAAAAGTTAAAGATGATATGCCACAGTTAAAAAAAAGCCTTTTGTCGTGCGTGTGAGTTGGTTCATATAGAGGGTTTATTTTGGGCCAAATATTAAATGAGATGTAGAATAAACTGATCTTGATACATAT